TGTTTGAATATAGCTTCTAATTACCATTAAAAGGTTTGGGGTTGGTGATATTTGTTTATATTTTTGAAAGAAGTCTCTTATGCTCACCAAGGCAGAATTTATTTGATCAAAAATACAGTAAAACTGTAATATTGTTAAATATTATTATATTTTAAATTTTTTTTTCTTTGAATATATTTTAAAATGCAATTTATTCCTGTCATCAAAGCTGAATTTTCAGCATCATTACTCCAATCTTCAGTGTCACATGATCCTTCAGAAATCATTCTGATATGCTGATTTGCTGCTCAAGAAACATTTATTATTATTATCAGTGTTGAAAACAATGTTGAAAACTATTTGATAATTTCATGGAAACTGTGATATGTTTTTTATTAGATTCTCCAATGAATAGAGAGTACAAAAGAACATCATTTATTTGAAATAGTAATCTTTTATAACCTTATAAATGTCTTTACTGTCACTTTTGATCAATATAATGCATCCTTGATGAATAAAATCATTAATTTCTTTCAAAAACCCCAAACTTTTGAACGGTAATGTGTTTTACAAAAACGTCGACTTAAAATATGACCACAAGCCATTGTTGGTTGCCTTAGCAAGCACCACTAACAAATCAATATCTTCTAACGAGATGAAAATCTACAGTTATTTTGGTTTTCAGACGCATCTGTTTCATATCTGTTGTAATATTGATGTTAAAAACAGTTTCATTTCCATCTGTACTCTCCAGTGCTTCCATGCATTAATAACTTTCTTTCCTCTCTGCAGTCCAGTTCACATGCATCCATTATACCAGGAGTCCTCTGGGCCGGTCTCACGGTGCATTATGCAACTGACAGATGTGTGCTCTGCTTCCAGAGACGGTTCGGTCTCCACCCTTCTCTACACTGTGAGAACATAAACAAGGCCACTGGTCTTTTTCCAGAACCATCCGTTCACAATGGGCACAGTCCTGTATCTTTACTCTTCCTGTCACAAGGCTGTTAGGAATGTGAGGGACAAATATCAGCGTAGTGTGGCACTTTTTTCTTTCAGTATTGTTTATTAATGAGAAACATAATCAGCAATCTGCCTGCAGTGCGCGACGATTAACTATAAACACCAATGTTAGCACAGGCAGTAAGTTTAATTTAAATCATGTTTTCCTTTTTTTTTTTTTTTAAGCCTAGGGCCGCCTCCTCGCAGTTGCTACCGTGAATCACATGACCAGCACTCGTTCCAAATCACTTGCATTACATTTTCAATGCATGGAGAAGATCAGTCAGCACATTATTCAAAATGTCTCCTTTTGTGAATCATAAATCAATAATGACCAAAACTATACGGATTCTTACATGACTTGCTGGGCTGTTTGGACACATGTAGTGAGACCTCCGTCAGGGGCAGGATATAAACCTCGGGGTCGTTCTGAGAGCTGGGGGAGGCTAAAGTGGAAAGGTCCGCTTGGACCTCCTCCCCCTCCATATTTTCAAATTCCTGCAGGGAACAAAATCACACAGAGACTTCAAACGTTTGTTTTCTATCTCAGTATTTAAAATGCAATTTATTCCTGTGATGCAAAGCAGAATTTTCAGCATCATTACTCCAGTCTTCAGTATCACATGATCCTTCAGAAATCATTCTGATATGCTTATTTGCTGCTCAAGAAACATTTCTTATTGTTATTGTTGAAACTGATACATTGGTAGGACTCTTTGATGAATAGAAATTTTAAAAGAACAGCAATTATTTGAACTATAAACATTATAAATGTCTTTACTGTCATTTTTGTTCAATTTAATGCGTCATCGCTTAATAAAACGAATAATTTCTTTAAGAAAAAATGAAATAAATGGCACAATTCAAACACAAGCAGGAAATTCAGACTGGCATTCTTACATCAGCTCTATTACTTTATGCATACTGTGAAATTAATATGAAATTTTAATGGTCTCTTATGTCACAGTATGATGGCAGATGAAAGTCTCTCTTGTGGTATTTTCTCTCTCTGTTATGAATGCTGGATGCCACATTTCGAAAATTGGGCAATCATCTGCTTGGACCCAATAACCTATCCAGTTCCCACAGCTCTACATGGTGGCTCATACTCACACATTGTGACTATTGTTGAGCATCTGTGTTGGGGAATTGCAGTACTGAATCTGTGCCATAACCAGCATGATTTCAATTCCTGTGTTTGATCTGAATTTGGATTGGGGTAGGATGCAGAACTAATTTGAATTTAAAGTAAGTAGTATTATATATTAATTTAATTCAGTAATGTGTTAAGCAGTATGTGTAAAGCACTCAATTAAAATGCCCTTTTACTGTTTTCTTTCTTTCTTTTTTTTTTTTTTTACTGGTAATTCATAGTTTTTACTTGAAAAAACATACATTTGACAGTATTTTACAATAAAATTACATATAATGCACTGTTAAATCACTTAAAATTTTTCACTGTACATGGTAAGGTAATCTACAGTTAATCAGTTCTCCCTATAAAGCCTGTATCATACTGTATCATAGTTGTAGCACAAATATCTTGATCAAAACTTTGTTTAAAAAACCTGTAGTGTATGATCCACACGTCTGATTGATAGTTTATACTTTTTAGCAGGGATGGGCAGTATTTCAGATACATGTATTTAAAATACGTATTTGAAATACAAAATACTATTTTGTATTTTGTATTTGAAAGCCTTCGGCAAAAATCAAATGTAATTTGTATTTAAATACATTTAAGATTAGTATTTTTGTATTTTCAAAATACCCTAATTGAAGTAGCTGTTTAAATAGGATCATGATTTTGCATACCATTGCATGAATGACTGCCTGACACATAATATATTATTATATTTATGACTAACGATCAAATGATTAAGTAGTTAGAAACTAGTTGCTATGAATACAGGTGTCATCAGTTGTCTTCTTATGAATAACTTGTTTGTCATTGAGTCAGTGTTGCTGATGCAAATTAGCCCCTGCCTTACCAAACACCAAGTAACTAAATTAGGATACAATTATGAGTCATTCGCAAACTGTTAAACATTAAACTGTTGGTTACTTTAAAACTAACCTTCATCTGGGAGATCACAGGGATATGTGAATATTTGATCTGTTAACTGGTTGCATTTGTCAGATTTATTGCATGACTCAGGCAGATTAAGGTATTTGGTATTTTATTTTAAAATACATTTTGATGTATCTTTGCCCAACCCTGCTTTTTAGCAAGTAAAAGGCCTTTAGTGTCATTGGTAAAATGTCCCCCGGATGCGCTTTTATACTTTCTGGTGCTTACGTCACCCCGCTCGTGACGTCTCGCTGCTCCATTGGACTGATTTGACACGTGCTTCAGAACGCGGTCACGCAAGGGCGTTCCCAAAGCGAATCTCGACGCAGCGTCTCGTTCCCTCGGGGAACCATGGTTACATACGTAACCTAGAGACGTTTATCATCGGGGTGGATGTGGCTCTGAGGCAAAGTGATGCAATATCATTTAGAACCACTTGAGGGTGCAAAGTAATTTACTTAATTCACACAGTCCATCTAAATATTTCATACTTCAATCTGTTATTAATGCATTATGTGTGCATTACTGAAGTGCTAACAGGACATATTTGAAGAGGAGGCGGCAGTTTATCTTTATTCACCAGTAGTCGATAAAAACTTTCATTTGAAGTGAGCTAGTGGTGCTTCTTGCTTTATGTGCATGGTGGAATGAAGACGATTTTCATTTTACCTTATCTTTTTAACTTGTCTTTTTATTTTTGTCTGTATGTCTATTAACAGTCCAGTAAGTAAATAATCTTATACATTTTAATAATCATGCCAATACAATTTTGATGAGTCTGACAGAAGTACAGTCTGTTCAATTACACATCTTAAAACAGTATGACAGACTGAACATAATGTGCACGTCTACTCTACCTCATTTAATAAGAGATATGCTATTTACCCACATAATGGGTGTAGTTATGACATCTACCAAAAGGGTACTAACTGTTTAAGAGAACTAATCAAGTCTACTCTGACAAATGTCTACTGACATAGATAGTAGAAAGTGTTCAGTTTGATTTTGGCACAGGATGTCCGACCATCATGGACTGCAGCCATACAGTCAGACTCTTTTCAAAAAATGCATAATAAGAAGCCCAAACATCTTGATGAAAAGTACGCCAATGTGAGGCAGCCAACTCATTTCAAGTAGCTGTAGCTCACTGCACCGCACTGGGTAGCAAGGGCTGTTTTCCATTCAGGAAGAGCAGCTGTCTCACTCCATCAGCGTGTGTGAGAAGGGCTGGTGCTCGTTCACAATACACACAATCTCTAAAGAGGCTTTAGTCACATTTAATACCAACACGACTATGTGTAACAGAGACACATGTGAAATCAGGATGGAAAGATGTGGTCTGGTCCCACATGCTGCAGCAAATGCCATCCACTCCTTGGTAATGTCAGTTAAATATACACCTTTGTGTTTCTGTTCAATTACTGAGCAATTACTGAGCATTATTTGAGAGATTTTTCAGCATGTGTAACCTTACAAAAATACTATGGTTCTGCCATGGTACAGCGTAGGGTAATGTGGCATATGCACCATTCAGAATTAAATTGCCTTTTAAATGTCAATTCAGGTCCTGAATTTCAATTAGGGTAGATAAAGGATGATTGGTGCTGAGATTATACTGTATCAAGAAATTCCAATTTCAGTGTATTCTACATATCAGTGAATATTTTTATAGAGCAGAATGATCAGTGTATGACCAAGTACCGCGAGAGCGATAAGAGAGCAGACGTATCCTTATGCTTTCGCGGTTGTTGAACAATGAACATATATTTCATATATGCAGCATATATGCCAGCAGCTATCACTCTGCAGCTCTCGCCTGGTCGCCCACTGAAGCTAAGCAGGGCTGAGCCTGGTCAGTACCTGAATGGGAGACCCTCACTGGGGTGTGAGGCGTGTGGCGTGTGGCAAGTTAACATCAAAGAGCCATGCCATATCACCCTGCAGCCCAAGACTGGTTGCCCACTGAAGCTAAGCAGGGTTGAGCCTGGTCAGTACCTGGATGGGAGACCTCCTGGGAAAACTAGGTTGCTGTTGGAAGAGATGCTTGTGAGGCCAGCAGGGGGTGCTCACCCTGTGATCTGTGTGGGTCCTAGCACCCCAGTATAGTGATGGGGACACCATACTGTCAAAAAGCACCATCCTTCGGATGAGACGTTAAACCGAGGTCCTGACTCTCTGTGGTCATTAAAAATCCCAGGATGTCTTTCAAAAAGAGTAGAGGTGTGACCTCGGCATCCTGGCCAAATTTGCCCATTGGCCTCTGACCATCATGGCCTCCTAACATAAAAGTTATTGTCATATCTGTGTCCTCTTATGTCAGGTTCTTATTTAATCTTATTTGAGGTGTTAGTGAGGCCAGCAGGGGGTGCTCACCCTGTGATCTGTGTGGGTCCTAGCACCCCAGTATAGTGATGGGGACACCATACTGTCAAAAAGCACCATCCTTCGGATGAGACGTTAAACCGAGGTCCTGACTCTCTGTGGTCATTAAAAATCCCAGGATGTCTTTCAAAAAGAGTAGAGGTGTGACCTCGGCATCCTGGCCAAATTTGCCCATTGCCCTCTGACCATCATGGCCTCCTAATCATCCCCATATAGTGAATGGCTTCATCATTCTGTCTTCTCTCCACCAATAAGCTGGTGTGTGGTGGGCGTTCTGGCACTCTATGGCTGCCGTCGCATCATCCAAGTGGATGCTGCACACTGGTGGTGGATGAGGAGATCCCCCCTTACAATGTCAAACGCTTTGAGTGCTTAGAAAAGTGCTATAGAAATTTAATGAATTATTATTATTATTATTATTATTAACATCATAACAATCTCTAATTTGCTATAATTCATCCCACCGAGGACCATGTTTTCCATTGCCTTCCTCCAGGTCAGTCTATAACAGGTCAACTTGCGTTCTGTCTGAACGGCCATACAAATACAGACAGACTTTCCACAGGGTGGCAACCTGTGATTTCCACAGAACACCAAATGCCATGCTAATTATCTGTGCCACTGAGACTTCCTGGACTAGAAGCACGTTCACAGTCAGCCCAGTGTGGGACAGACATGGACAAACCATCCACCCACTCACACAGTCACTTAGAGCAGACAATCCTATTAAAAACACACAGTCCAGACACACGGCATTATAGGCAGCATCTTAAGGGTCTGTAGCGTTGAGCTGCGACGCTTCCTATGATGTGCCATTCTCCCACTGCCGCAGTGCATGTGGACATAAACAGCCCGCTTATTCTGATACATTAATCCTCAACTGTGTGTGCCAAACCAAATCTGATAACAACTTTATACTGTATTAAAAAAGTCCAATTTCAGTGCATTCTACATATTATATTATATTATATTATATTATATTATATTATTGTCACAATGGAACAGTCTAGTATGGTCCTCGAGCGATCTCTCCCCCTGCTATTATAGATATTCCGGGCAAAGGAGGGCATCCATGAGGGAACTAGGGGTGTCGAAATTAATTGTTTCTTCGATGCATCAGGTCAGTCTATAACAGGTCAACTTGCGTTCTGTCTGAACGGCCATACAAATACAGACAGACTTTCCACAGGGTGGCAACCTGTGATTTCCACAGAACACCAAATGCCATGCTAATTATCTGTGCCACTGAGACTTCCTGGACTAGAAGCACGTTCACAGTCAGCCCAGTGTGGGACAGACATGGACAAACCATCCACCCACTCACACAGTCACTTAGAGCAGACAATCCTATTAAAAACACACAGTCCAGACACACGGCATTATAGGCAGCATCTTAAGGGTCTGTAGCGTTGAGCTGCGACGCTTCCTATGATGTGCCATTCTCCCACTGCCGCAGTGCATGTGGACATAAACAGCCCGCTTATTCTGATACATTAATCCTCAACTGTGTGTGCCAAACCAAATCTGATAACAACTCTGTCCCCGTCTGTTCATATTCTCTGTCAAATCTCCATGTTCCCTCTCATTTTTGTTCTTGCTGAGCAAAACCTATGTCTATTAGGCAGAAGCTTCATCCACCTGAGCAGAATCACCCCATGCATCAGAGCCGTGCTGGGTTGGAAGTGTCATACTTCACAAAGAAATGCTATGGCTCTGTTCCTAAACCTAGTGAGCTGCACCGATGCCTACATGGGCAGCTGTCCTATAATGCAGCATCCTGACTGTAATGAATGCCACGCATTTTGGTGACATTTGCAATTCAGAACTCTATGTAGCAATAGCATGTTGCTAAGCTAAAATTGAAGCACTCTAAGGAACATAAATATATTGCAATGCACAATGTATAAGCAACATATCAATTTTTTTTATTATTAATTTGTATCCGTATACGGGAAATACACCGCAGTTAAAAATTTTGGGATCAGTATTTTTTTTTTTTACTTTTGGAAAGAAGTTTCTGATGCTCAGCAAGGCTGCATTTATTTGATTAAAAACAGAGTAAAACTGTAATATTGTGAAATATCAATACAATTTTAAATCAGTTTTCTGTTTGAATGTACAGTATATAAAAGTGTATTCCTATGATAGTAAAGCTGAATTTTCAGCATCATTATTCCAGTCGTCAGTGTCTCATGATCCATCAGAAATCATTCTAATATGATGATTTGCTGCTAAAAAAACATTTCTTATTATCAATGTTGAAAACAGCTGTGCTGTTTAATATTTTTGTGGAAACCATGATACTTTTTAAAGGATTATTTGATGAAACTTCAAAAGCATTTATTTGAAATAAAATAATTTTGTTACATTACAAATGTTTGTAACATTTGAACAAGTTAATTTGTCCTTGCTTAATAAAAGTATTAATTTCTTTTAAAAAAAATGTACTGCCTCAGATTCTTAAAGTGGTGTACACTGGGTGATAAGGGATTTTTAAGTGTACATAATTATTTTCTCAAATTTTTTTATATTTTTATGTCATCTAACACTTACAATTTATCTTTGAAAATATTACAATTAATAAGTGTTAAATGTAGCAAATCCCAATATTAATCAATTTTCATTGTGATGCCTAAATTTATTCGTAGCATTTAAAATTAGCAATTGTTGTTTTTACTTTTTTTTTTACTTGTTTTTTTTTTTTACAAAATAGTTTCTTATTTTAATATCTGCCAAAGCATCAAAGCGTTTATGGGCTTATAGATATCGTCCAGAATTTTGATATCAGTGCATCGACAGTATCAGTATAGTGTAATTAGCATGTACTTCTCAATACTTCTGAGTATTGCATGACTTACAACTAGATTTATAATTATTTCTCTTGCTTTGTCTGCAATCTTGGATTTATCTTTACTGAGACTCCATCTCCACAAAGCATTCATGCAGTACTGCTCGAGTACTGCAAGAAATATTAGGAGACAGGATCCTGCCAACTTGTCTTTAAAAAACAGTCAATAGTCTGCCTAATTGTGCTATGATGCTTCAGTTTCATAGATTGTTTCATAAATCTCATTTGTCTTCAGGTTATCACGTGTTTGAAGTTCGGAAGTAGATAAAACAAAAAATGGGCAGAAGAAAAGGAAAGCTTTAATCCTTGAAATGAGGTAAAAAGGAACACAAAGGCATTTGTGTTTTGCACAGAGAAAAAGTGCTGAAGATTGACGTTTTCTTTGTGAGGCTGTGTTGGTACATGCGTTCATGACTAGAAAGACAAATCAAATCTAACAGGCTGAATGACATGATGTACTTCTGGAAAAAACATGGTGACATCAAACAAAATGATAATAGGTTGCTGAGTGACGTGCCTATAAAAAATTAGGATGAGGCACTGGAGAAGACATTAATTTCTCATCTTCCTTTAATTTGGAGGGCCATTTTGATGGATGAAATGACTAATGAGGACTGAGATCTCACCTTGAAGCTGATGTCCCCTTTCTTGCAGCACAGGCAGGCTAGCATGAGGAAGACAAATGTGAAGAGGCCGGAGAAGGAGACAGCAACCACCGCCAGAGAGGACGGCCATGACAGCTCACTCAACGGGGAGCCACCTGGGGTGCAAAAACAGACATTTAGTATCAAACTCTGCTGATGAACTTCAAACCTCAGACATCAGTGTATAAAGAGTAAATGACTATGTTTAAAGGTGAAGTGTGTCAATTATGTGCCTTTAGCGCACAAACAGATCCAAATCAAAAATGTTTTCAAACTGTAATGTCTTTGATTACTTAATTTTAGGGAATTAATTATTATTAATTAATTCAGGTTTTGAGAGGAATCGAATCTGAAAATTCGAGGTCCACCTGATTAAAACGGATTTCAAATTTGATACTCTTGATTGGATTAGTCTTTAATCACTCCTCTGAGTAGATGACGACAAGACTGGCAGGAAGTCGACCCAGAATATACCCAGAGTCATGTGCTGGGGTGATTAGCAAACCTCATGATGGCTGATAGGGGCATATCAGTGTCCGTTCATGATAGAAATCCCTACAAAACGTTTTCGCAAACAATCCTTCCATTTGTTAATTATAGGATACATTTTCCCCATTTATGCCTAAAAATTTGCCAACTTCATAAATAAAAACATTAAAACACCAGATTTAAAAAAATCAGACAACAATTACAGGGAAAATTACACTACATTCTCTCTTTGCTTTATGAAGGAAGAAACTATCGCGAGCTAATGACAGCTGATGAGAGAATAACGCAGGTTATCTAAAGGTTTCATAACATACAAATTAAATTCAGGAAATGTGAGGGAATGCAAAGGAGCTGTATATTAATTAATATTGATGAAAATATAATTAAATTATATTGATCAAGTATATTATTCCTCGTGTGGCATTGAAAACCTTCATGGCAAAAAAAAAAAAAAAAGATATTTTGCAGAATGCCCATGCTGCTCATTTTCACACTGAAATGGATGAGTTATACTGCCAAACTCCAAAAATTACAAAAAGCTACCATAAAAGTTAGTCAATACAACTTGTGTCCACAAGTCTTCTAAAGTCATACAATAGAGAACTGCAGTGATGGCATATTTTGTGGGCCAAATCTTTATTTAAACTCGAAGTTTGAGTTTAAATAGTTTGACAAGAGCGTGAAAATATAGCATGAATTATGTTATAAAATATGAAAATATTTGAGCTTGTGTTAATCAAAGACCTTATTTCAGGCATTTAAAAAAAAAACTACCAAAAATGCTAAATCATTTCAAGGTTTTGAGACTCATTCATGAATCACTCTAGCTTTATGTGAGAAAAAGACCTGGAGAAAAAAAAACATGAAATTGAAATTGAAAAGATCGTTCATGAACATAATAATCCAGAGGCAGAGGAACAACCTGAAGAGCGGGGGAACACATAAACCTATTAGCTTGGTTCATGAATAAGAATTACACTGACATGTACCCACTAGTCCTACCCGACAGAGCAGAGATTGGTAAAATGGCACCAGATAATGATTATCTCCCAAAAAGTAGGGGCTGAAATGTTCCTCGATGTAAAATTGTGGCTGTTTAAACATGCCTCCCAGCTGCCCAGTTTGATTGCTTGTATGCAAATGAAGGAGAAGTGATGGGACCCAGGCCAAAAGCATTTAGGCCTTTTCACACTCTGTCATTACAAGGACACCACAGGGGCAGGTGTCACATTTTGGACTACTGAGATTTAATCTGACTTTCACTGTAATCCTCCTGTCAGCAGGGGACACACAAAGACACGCTATTATTTACTCAAGACACGCATCCTGATCTGCAAAACTCTTCACCACAGTAGCCATTTGTCCTGAAATGGAGGAAGTGGCTTGTTTTGCTGATAAGCTGACACATGTCACTGTGTTCCACACATGACGTCTGTCAGGGTCATGTGGGTTGTAAGGCCAATGCCTCGAAACAAAAATAGGCATGAGGCGAAAGGTATAAACACAAATACAAAAAAAACAAACTCTTGACTCTTTTCCAAAACCTAGTTAGATGTCCTGCTGTATACTACATGCATAGGCAGCTGTCTTTTAAGGGCACATTTTAATAGATTGTCATCCAATACCGTTTTTAAGTTTGGGATCAGTAAGAGTTTTTAATGTTTTTGAAAGAAGTCTTTCAAAAGGCTGCAAAATAGAGTAAAACAGTAATATTGTGAAAAATTATTACAATTTTAAAGGAACTATTTTCTATTTAAATATATTTTAAAATGTAATTTATTCCTGTGATGCAAAGCTGAATTTTCAGCATCATTACTCCAGTCTTCAGTGTCACATGATCCTTCAGAAATCATTTGAATATGCTGATTTGCTGCTCAAGAAACATTTCTTATGATCAATGTTGAAAACATTAAGCAACATTTTTGTTGCTTAATATTTTTGTGGAAACCACCATACATACATAAATTTTTTTCCTGGATTCTCTGATGAATACAAAGATCAAAAGAACATTTATTTGAAATAGAAATCTTTTGTAGCATTATAAATGCCTTTACTGTCACTTTTGATCAATTGAATGGGTCCTTGTTGAATAAAAGTATTGATTTCTTTCAAACTTTTGAATGGTAATGCAGCTCTTCATCAAACAAATAGCATTCCTCACACAAACCGCACAGTTCATTAACACACAAACTCACATTTGATTTCAGTAGTTTGTTGTAAGCATATTACAAAGCTAATGGTTAAATAAGCATAAAAATATAGATTGGGTCAGTAGAGTGAATTTTAATTGCATTGAACTATTTCTATCAATACTTTGTATTAAATTCAAATGTATACTTAATACCACAATGCACTATGGATTGATTTCACAAATGATACATGCATTGCTGTTTTCGAATTTTTAGAAGTTATTTTACAGTCTTCACATTGGGAGAACAACCATAACGCCATAATAAAGCTGTCTATGTAGGCATCTCAGAGGGTTTTGAAACAGAGGCTATGTGACCCAGGAGCAGCGGAGCATGTGTGTATACACAACACCACATGCAGAGACACGGTCAGCAAAGTGTTTGGTGTACGAAAGCATTTCTCCCACCCACTCCTGCGTCTCCATGGTAACAGGCTGACTGGCTGACCCGTCATGTTGTATTGCACTTCGCTTTTTGTCATATCTCTCCTCAGCCCCCACCTTTCATAATGATGACACATTTCTGCTGATGCATTAACAGCTGCTCTTTCTATTTTCCTCTCCCTCTTTCGTCAGCATTCTCATAATGTCCTAAACACACACAGTTTGGTTCACCTGGGGTCTGTGATACAACATTTCATTTTGAAATAAGAGAAGGATGTCACATGTTGTTGACACAAGTATTCAGAATTGCATACTCGTACTACTTGTGCAAAATGCAGTATGCATAGTATACGCATACAAATACGCAGCAACACCAAAACCAGTTGTCTTAAAGGGTTAGTTCACCCAAAAATTTAAATTCTGTCATTAATTACTCACCTTCATGTCGTTTCAAACCCATAAGACCTTCGTTCATCTTCGGAACACAAATTAAGATGTTTTGGATGGAATCTGAGAGCTGTCTGACCCTGAATAGACAGCAATACAACTGAAATGTTCCCAAGTCCAGAGACCTAGCAAGGAGATTGGTAAAATAATCCATGTGACATCAGGGGTTCAACCGTAATTTTACGAAGCTACGAGAATAATTTTTGTGCACAAAAGAAAAAAAAAACGACTTTATTTCACAATTCGTCTCCTCCGCGTCACCCTGGTGCCATTTTGGAGAGTATCAGCTGGACGTAAACAGCGTATGCTGTAAAGTAGTTTTTTTTTTTTCTTTTGCGCACAAAAATTATTCTCGTAGTTTCGTAAAATTACGGTTGAACCCCTGATGTCACATGGATTATTTTACAGATCTCCTTGCTACGTTTCTGGACTTGGGAACATTTCAGTTGTATTGCTGTCTATGCAGGGTCAGACAGCTCTCAGATTCCATCAAAAATATCTTAATTTGTGTTCCGAAGATGAACGAAGGTCTTACGGGTTTGAAACGACATGAGGGTGAGTAATTAATGACAGAATCTTTATTTTTGGGTGAACTAACCCTTTAATGAATGATCATTTAAACAATAAACATTAATTGGTATATTAATGAACATAAATGTGCATTGCAGAAAATAAGCTCTGATCAACAAATAATTATGATTCTTACACATTTAGTTCATCAAGACGATCTTCACAAAAGAAGGCAACTTTATGAATTTCTGAAGCCTAATTACAATCGCCAGAAGTACAAAGCCAGCATTAATGCAATTAATGTCATATTTTTGGTGTTATTGCATTCATGCCTTGAGGTTTGAATGTTAAATGGGGTGTTTGGGAAACCTGTCTGATCATGCATACTATATAGTATAATAACCAAAAAGCGGTATGTTAAAGGGATAGTTCACCCAAAAATGGAAATTCTGTCATCATTTACTCACCCTCATGTCATTCAAAACCCATAAGAATTGTATTAATCTTTGAACCAAAACTGAAGAAATTTTTAATGAAACCCGAGAGATTTCTCTCCCTTCATTAAAAAGTCCATTATACCAAAACGTTGATGCTACAAAAAGCTCAAGTTTAGGTTTTTATTCATATATAAGCATTGATCAATGTACATCAAACATGGTAAATGGAAGCTCAACCATGTTTTGGCGAGAACAAACCTCATTGGTTTTGAGCATCAAGCAAATATTTTTGAGCTTCCATTTACCATATTTGACAAGCTCTTTGTATGTTAATTCATCAATGTTTATATGTGAATAAAAGCATAAATTAAATCTGTTCATAAAGTGTGTTTATAGACTTGGTTTAAAAGACTCTTAATATTCAGTAATATCTTTGATTTGGCTGCACTGACACGATTGACCTCTACAGTCAACTATAACATTTCATAACTGATGAACATTGCAACATTGACATTGAGAATGAACTAACTGAATCAACACTGAACCAAATTGATCTGAATAATGATACTATTGTCTTCTGCTCTTCACAATACTACCACCATTATCTTCCTGTTTATTACTGTGAATCTGCTTTGAAACAGCCAGTTGTAGCGAATCAGCT